TATATATATATATATATATATATATATATATATATATATATATCATCTAGTCAATGATGAATAGAGATCGTTGAACATATTACGGTATTACCCTCCAACTAGGTTACAACCCGTGGAAACCACGGGTAAGAAAGAAAAATACTATTGATTAGTTAAAATTAATAGTTACATTGTTATGAATATCAGGATTTTGTAAAATGCAATATAAAATTGAATAGAGTGGAAAAAAAATACAATCAATCATAGAAATGATATTGTTATATGACAAATTAAAAATGACAGCAATGTAATAAACATATATAAACACAACACAATAAATTATAATTATATTATGAATTAGTAGGCATATGCTTTGTTTCCTTGATCATCCGGATTTAGCAAATGAGGTTGGTTTAACATATGTTTTTGGCGATATTTTATGAAAGAATATGAATGTGTTATTTGTAAGTATAGGTTGGCGGGCAAAAAATGAAATGTCGCTTCCTTAGTTCCTTGTATAAGTTTTTTTTTTTTTTTGTTTGTTTGTAAATTCATCAAATCATTTTAAATAGAAATTAAACCAATCATTATCGGATCGCTCTCATCCTTCATTCAACCGGTCTGTTCAAACCGATTTATAAAATATTTTTATCATTCTTTATTTAATAAATTGAACATTAGATGCTAAATCAAGTAGATTGAGCTTTAATAATCTTTAACCGGATGCGAAGTATATTGCTAACTTGAATTTGACTTCACTTATTTTTCAAGAATTAAGGTATTTGACCAAATTTAGAACAAACCTATTCATAATGTCTTTAAAAATGATTTTATTTTTTATTTAACCTACCAAAACAAACCGTTTGCAACATTTTTTTAAAAATCTAATAAACTGAAAAATAATGTACATATTAATATATTTATATTATTTTCAACATGTAAATAAATTCAGTAATTTTTAATTACTAATGTATTTTTAATAAATTGTCACTTGCAAATTTTCAATTAAGTAATAGTACTTTTTTTCTTTTATACTTTTCATTATCTTTATAAATAACTTCTAAATAAAAATTCTAGACTTTTTCAATGCATTACTTTATATAAATAACTAAATATTTATTAAGTGATTAACAATGTGTTCTATTCCAAAAGTCATTATCCACAAAAACTACTATCAGATTAAATTTTAAACCTAATTTTTTATAATGAAACTTGTTTTTAAGTAACAGATATTAAAAATCCTATTAATATACAACATAACAAAATGAAAAAAACCAAAAAAAACATATGTAATTGCTCCAAATTACAGTAAATGACCATGAAGGTCTTGTCAAAATCAACGAATCTCAAGAATGTACCTGAGCAATATATATATATATATATATATATATATATATATATATATATATATATATATATATCCTCACACTCTCCCAAGTCCATAGTGCTATAGCAAGTCACACCCCATAGAACAACTGAAAAACACACAAAAATAGATTTATAACAAACACCACCTTAGTAACTTAGTAACTTGCAGAACAGACCATTCTTTGTTATCAATTCAGTTTACAATAATAATGTTTTTATGTTTCTTTTCCCTTTCATACATAATTAAGTCCAAAGTTTCTTTAAATTATTACATCATTTGACTAAATATTGAAACTTTCAGGGCATTCAATGACGAAAATACTACATGGTGTTGGAGTATGCTCAAATCTTTTTACTGGATGATGGGATTGTAGTAGAAAAAGTGTTGTAAAATGATTATATTTCTCAAAAGTAAAAAGTTGTAATAGTAAGAACTAAAATTAGGATGCTATATTAAATTAACCAATATAAATACATTGCTATTTTTTCCGTTCATGTAGTTATTATTCAAGTAATGATATAATTTATTGATCGTATAATAAATAAACAAATAATAGTAAATTACTTTTTTTACCTTTCCTAGTAGTTGTATTTGTATGCAATTGTGATTGATGTAGGAAGAATCCATGTACACAGAAAGTCATACATGACAAAAATTATGTGTAGTTGGAAAAGTTACTAAACAATATTCATTACATGCAATTCCAATAACAATTGTTAAAAGGGGCGCTTCCCTCTTCTCTGCAAGGTAAGAGTATGTAGTAAGCAATATAGTTCCTAATTTTCCTAAACCTGAAAAAATAGTAATATGAAATTGTCATTTATAATATTATACTTTATAAAATAGTCTTTTTTAGGATTTCTAATATGGAGTGGAAAATAAAATAAAAAACATTTTCTTTTATAGCATTCTACTTTTTAGAAAATATCATTTATAGCATCCTACTTTGTAATATGACATCTTTTTGACGATTTCAAACATGAAATGGAAAATTAAAAAAAACACTTTCTTTTATAGCATTCCATAAATGAAACTCAAAATTAGAAAAAAAGACCACATAATTGTGGTGTAAGAAAAAAGCATCCTACGTTCGGGTTAGAAAAAAGACTTTTGTATAGCCTCACATACATCTCAATAGAAAAAAGACTTTTGTGATTTTTTTAATAGATAGAAACATACCTGGAAACCAGATATGAAGAAGAAAACCCATAAATGAAACTCAAAATTAGACCTGCATCAAAACATCACCAAAATCAAAACCATACCCTTGTTAATGGATAGAAACAAAATATAAAAAACAAAAACAAAAACACCATAATTTTATGATAAACAGTTAAATCATATACTCCAATAATATTTCTTATATCTTCTTAAGAATTCAAATCATAAATATTTTCCATTGTTTTCATAAAACTTATCTATATCAACATACATACTAACAAGAGCATTAATTTAATCTTTTAGCTACATGTGTACACTTTAAAGAATAAAACTTACTTTTCCAGTATATCTCGCTTTTACTTTTCGAAAATGATACCATCTTTTGCTATTTTACATCAGCATCACCATGCCAAGCTAACCAATGTACTTCAGTTAGGAAAATCATAAGCATCTATTAGAAGCTACCATTTTGTCTTAAAATTATCCAAGAAAAATCTCCATCTATCATATCCTCAAACTCCTCGATTTTGCCACATCAACTATAAGATACCAGCTATAGGATACCGATAAAAAAGTTCAACTTTATTTATTTCTAACATACCAAAGGTTCATTAACGTTCAACTTTTTTTTTTTGAGAAAATATACCGATATCGAAAATTAAAAAATATATATAATAGAAAAATTTATAATTCTAGATTGTATGGTTAGTAAGAAGTTTATCACACCCCTGTTGCTTTCTTAATTGCTCCACCATTTAACCATGTGTAATAAAAAAAAGAAAAACAGTGAGTAATGATAAATTAAATATTGATATATTTTTTTAAATATACCTTTATTCTAGCATATATCTCATAATCACCAATGAAAACCTAACCTTTCATATGTTTCATCTTCACATGAATTTCTAGAGAGCACATATGAAAAACACCGAATAAAAGAAGGTGAAAATTATAGCATAAATTTCAGAAGTATCATATGTATGCATCCTTTCATATAACAATACATATCTGATATCAAATGGGAAAGAGAAATTAAATTGATTGAACATGTAGTGTTTTAACAAATCCAATGTTTTACTCCATTGACACCTCTCCAATTGTCATTTGATTGTTCCACTTCCATAAACATTCAAATGAATAAACAACAAAAGTAGAATCTCCATTTCGAATCTGATGTAAAAAAAGTTGCAATCATTAAACATTAGGTATAATTGCAAAAGATGAATCAAGGATGATCAACAATCCATTAGCTTCTTACCATGATGGCTGTAAAGCACATAAAATTCCTTTAACAAATTCAAAATTACAAACCCAATACCCTTAAAAGCCAGTAGGTTGATCTAGAACACTTCTGCAATAAGAGCACAAAATATGATTTATTTAGTTCCATAAGAAATGATTACAATGATTGAAGATGTAACGTTGAGAACTCGATCACCTCCCATACTAATAAGACCGATAGATTATATATTCAATATGAAATGCTAAAACGAATCAGTTAACTAGAACGATGTGAAGTGAAACAAGCTCAATCTTCAATAACAAAGCACAAAGAACAGTTCGCAATTTGGAACTATTCTATGAGTGTTAGATGGTTACAAAAAGATCGATACAAAAGGAAA